ATTTATAATAAATAAGTCTCATCCTTCTGTCTCCTGGAGCTTTACCTTTACAATTTTAAACTTTACAGACGTGAAATCTTAACTCATGACAGCAGCACCGTCTTTACCTCTTCACCAACAATGTTACACTTTAAAAAAAACACTTGAAGCCATTACATGCAGACATTAGCTGAAGAAAGTTTTCATTGAACATACTCATATTTGATATTTGACGCCAAGCTTTGTCGTTATTTAAACTAAAAAATAGACATATCAAATGACTTAGAATAAAGATAATAATAACTGAAATGCACAATCCAGCAATTTATATACAGTGTGTCTGAAAAAGTCAATGCATCCATTACAGTAACATTTTTTTAATCCAACACAGAGGCCTAATGTATTAGAAACTTATTTATTTTTGGCTCATGCATATTTATCTAAAAGTAAAAGATAGTACAATTAATTTAAGTTAATGCAATTAATGTAAGCAAAGACCTGTATTGTATCAAATTAGTGTAAAATAAACATTACACATTAATTATTAATATTTTACCAGCTGCATTTTTCCACCTTTTAAAAATCTAAATAACAGAGTTAACAGATAGCAAAGTGTCAGGTGGCCCAAAAGGTGAATTAGAAAACACATAGTTTGATCATATTCATTTCATTATAAGAATAACCATTTTTTAAAGGGGGGGGGCTTTGCAATGAAATAGGTTCGTCCGTATTCAAGCTCTAACCAGAGTCTCTTATCTTTGAAGGCAGGCTCTTATGTCTGATAAAACGTTTCAGTGTATGAACTCTCACTGTTTGAGTACCGAGTCCATACAGCACGGGGTTGGCAACTGATGGGATGATGATAAAATACAAAGAGAGGACGATCCTTGCATCTACAGCCACATGGTTCATGTTGAATCGAGATTGGATGACTTCGAATAATATTCCTATGGTGTAGTTTAGCAAAGAGAATAAATGAGGGATGCATGTTTTAAGAGCACTGCCCCGAGATTCTCGCAGCAGTTTCCCACACACTCTTGCAATTTGCATGTAAGAGAAAACAATCATCACTAGCTGAGGGACAACAAAAAACACAGTCAGTACGAGTCCCACTATACTTATGTATGGCACACTTGAACATGAGTTTTTGACCACTTCCATGTTCACACAGTATAATTTCGGCACCACTTTTCCGCAGAAGCTCAGGTTTAAGGTCAGAGCGTAGAAACATGCACACAGAATCAGCGGGTAAAGACTAGCTAATGACACAAGCTTGCTTATCTTTGAATAAGACATGATGCTGTGGTAATGTAGAGGGTAACAGATGGCAACGTACCGGTCATATCCCATCACAGCTAATATAAAGAACTCAGCACATGCGTATGTTTGCAGAAAGTAGACCTGAGCCAAACACCACTTCACGCTAGTCTCATGTGTGTCAGACATGAGCAGAGCCATGACTGCAGGTAACAGCGCGGTGGTGCCGTACATTTCATTGACAGATAACATACATGTGAACACATTCATGGGTTGGTGCAGCTCTTTGTTCTGATGTATGACGGTGATGAGCAGCGTATTCAGAGTGAGAATGATAAGATACAGCAAGAGGAATACAGTGAACAGCCCATGTTTGTTGTTTTCCATGACAGCATAGGCAGTCATCGTGAATGTCAGCACGGTTCTGTTGTCCATATTTCACTTCATCTCTGTAAAAGAAAAGCATACATTTTATAATACAGGCTGGTGAAGCACTTTATGATTGGTACTGAAGCTACTCAAAGCTATTTCAATGATATCAAGTCAACAACAAAGGAATTAAAAGACAGATAACAAAGCGAGAACAAGAAGACAGATGGATAGAGAGCCATTAAAATCACAAAGCAGGGTTAAAATATTATACAGTGTGTAAGATTATGTATAGAAAGGTCTTGAATTGTTAAAATATGATGAGATTAAGATTGGAAGAATAAATAGCTAGAAAGTACACTTATATAAAACAATTAGAGTTTGGACGGTCTAACATCAAATATCTAAAAAGGTAAAAGTGCATTGACCTTAAGTAGATGTTGTATCATGTTACCAGAGGTCATTACTCAACAATGAACACATTTAATCACAGAACAAGTTAAAGTTGTTGGTTCAGAGTACAACAAACACACATCCTGTTACCTGCTTTCTGTCCTCTTCTGGAGGTAGCGGAGTGTGCCACTTGGTCACGGGTGGGCTTTTAACAATGCTCATCCGAGATGCGTTGATATCATGTGATATAAGTGTGTAACTTGTTACCATGGCGTCCAAAGTATGTTGTTCCTCCAACACCTTCACAAAAGCAGAAAAGTTTGGTTGAGAAACAACAACACAGATTCTGACACCTTAGCAAAGTGTAAAAGTAACACATAAAAATAAAATGTGATGCTTGAAACAGCTGCAGCGTATGTGTGTTTATTTAAAAGTCCTTTAATGCAGTGGTTCTCAACTGGGGGGTTGGGACCTGAAAGTGGGTCGCGGAGCCGTTATCAGTGGGTTGCGAATTTGTGCCCGGAAAAACAACTATGTTGAAAAGTCAGTCAAGTTTGTTTTGTTCCATCTCTGTGTTCTGTCAGATGTTTCGTTCCATCTGAGGTCTGAACTGCCATATTTGTCTTTAAAGGGGACATATTATCTCCCTTTTCCACCTTTTCAAACAGTCCCCTGTGGTCTAAATGAAACATCTGTGCTGTGCTTTGGTCAAAATTTAACATGAATCAAGCACCAGACGAGGTTTGCGACCCAGTATAATCCAGCTCTCTCAGAACGCTCCGTTTTGGTGTGTGTGTCTCTTTAAATACAAGGCCACAGGTGGGATGTGAACCTGGGCCGCCCGCTTGAGACAACAGCCTCCATACATGGGGCGCGAGCACTAACCACTGCGCCACTAGCGCCCCTCAAAATACTTTTCACACCACGTCTCATTCATCCATTCAAACCACATTCACACACTGGTGGCAGTGGCTGCTAAGTTAAGTGTCCATCAATATTGTCACATTCACATTCACACACCGCAGATGCGACAGCAGGAAAAACTTGGGCTTCAGTGTCCAGCCCAAGGAATCTTCATGTTACTGCAAGAGCCAGGGATTTAACCCCTGACCTTCTGGTCGAGACACGACTGACTCACAGCCACAGCCGGGTGAATAGTTAGTCTACCAAGTCTGTCATTTGGGCAGAAAAGTTTCAATGTTTCAAACGACAGTTCTTCCCCACGAAATACATGGACAATGGGAAGAATAATCCAAACCTTGCCTGACTCCAGTGGAATGGTACGCCAAGTAAAGCTGCACAGACCTGTAAATAAACTGTGTCTGCTACAAGAAGCAGTGTGATCACAAAGACTACATGATGGACAACATAAATGGGACTGATGAATAAGACTTTAAAATAGTAATTGCAGTTAAATGGTGACTTATAACTCTTATTATTTGAATGAATTTGTTGAGTGCTTTAGTTTGATGACTCTTAGTATTGTAGTTGGTCATGGCTTAATCATCCTGCTTAATCATTAGGGGCCGGATATGTAAGAACCACAAGATGACAACTTAAGTTAATTTAAAATATGATGCATAATTTATAATTTCATGTTATTTCATGTGCATACCAGGGAAACAATGTTAAAAGATTTAAAAACAAACTCATGTTGGTTAATATCTTTATGCTCCCTTCCTGATAAAACTTGCATATTGGACCTTTAATTTGGTGAGTCATGTGCGCAGTTGATTGATGCTTTGAGCTGCGGCAGGCACGGGAGCATATAGGTTTTCTACCGTGTGACGGACTGTGATTTGAATTTTTTTATTTTTTATTAAATGTTTTGAACCGGATTACATTTCCTGTCATTCGCGTCAGAAAGGTGGCTTTTTTTCACGTCCAGAAGGAACGCCACTACACTGTTTTTTTTATTAAAGCCCTGAATGGCCTGGCCCCCCTATACATCACCTCCTCTGGCCGTACACCTCATCTAGCCCCTAAGATCATCAGACATGGGTCTCCTGGCTGTCCCTCGCTCACAGCTCAAACTAAAAGGAGATTTTGCTTTTACAGTTAAAGCCCCTAAACTGTGGAACAGCCTCCCTTATCCCATCAGGTCTGCCCCCTCTGTCGACTCTTTTAAGTCCCGTCTCAAGCATTTGAGTCCTCTGGCCCTGAATAGGCCTTTATTTCAGGTTCCAGCTGTCACTTTCATTATTTTTTATTTTATTGTATTTTATGTTTCTTGTGGATGTTGTGACCTGTACATCCTTTTTTTAATGCTTTGTACAGCACTCTGTTTTTAAATGTGCTTTATAAATAAATGTGACTTGACTTTTTCCCGGGTAACCAAATGTTAAATGCAAAGCTGACCAGTTTCCTTGTCAGACTACTATATATACAGATGTACTATAGAGTAACCTTTCAGTCACTTAGGATATGTTTGGGTTCAGCATAAAATTGTATGCTTAAATACCACAATATAAAGACCTACTTCATTACTGATTAGCTTCATGAATACAGTCCAGCTCTATGATTGCCAAGGTGCCATTTTGTAAATTAGTTCAATATCTGTTTCTTTATTCTCCGGGCTTATAATGTCTGTTGTATTTCTGTGGTAAGGAAAGTGTGTGTAAATATATCATCTGCAAAGTGTATCTTTTCATAATTATATTATTCATATTGTTAGTTTTATGATAAAGCAACCAAATTTTAAGATTTATTGACAAAACAACTTTACAAAATGCAAGTATTTACTTAGAAAGCAGGCCCAACAATGCACAGTGTCCAACATAAAAGCATATTGTCAGCTTGATGTGTTGCTCCACACAAACACAACTGAAGACTGTTACCGGCTCAGAAGAAAAAGCACCAAGTACCAACAGAGCAAGAATTAGTGTGAAACCTCCAGGACCATGATGCTTATGACAGGTTTTTTCCATAATGATGGCAGTCAGTATAAGGGCTATAAGTGCATGTTATGTTGTCTTAAAGATTCAAGAACAAACTCACAAAACTCAAATATATTTACCATCAATGACAGTAAATCTTTGCTTTATTTATAATAAATAAGTCTCATCCTTCTGTCTCCTGGAGCTTTACCTTTACAATTTTAAACTTTACAGACGTGAAATCTTAACTCATGACAGCAGCACCGTCTTTACCTCTTCACCAACAATGTTACACTTTAAAAAAAACACTTGAAGCCATTACATGCAGACATTAGCTGAAGAAAGTTTTCATTGAACATACTCATATTTGATATCTGACACCAAGCTTTGCCGTTATTCAAACTAAAAAATAGACATCAAATGACTTAGAATAAAGATAATAATAACTGAAATGCACAATCCAGCAATTTATATACAGTGTGTCTGAAAAAGTCAATGCATCCATTACAGTAACATTTTGTTAATCTAACACAGAGGCCTAATGTATTAGAAACTTATTTATTTTTGGCTCATACATATTTATCTAAGAGTAAAAGATAGTACCATTCATTTAAGTTAATGCAATTAATGTAAGCAAAGACCTGTATTGTATCATATTAGTGTAAAATAAACATTACACATTAATTATTAATATTTTACCAGCTGCATTTTTCCACCTTTTTTAAAAATCTAAATAACAGAGTTAACAGACAGCAAAGTGTCAGGTGGCCCAAAAGATGAATGAGAAAACACATAGTTTGATCACATTCATTTCATTATAAGAATAACCATTTTTTAAGGGGGGGGGGGGGGGCTTTGCAATGAAATAGGTTCGTCCGTATTCAAGCACTAACCAGAGTCTCTTATCTTTGAAAGCAGGATCTTATGTCTGATAAAACGTTTCAGTATGTGAACTCTCACTGTTTGAGTACCGAGTCCATACAGCACGGGGTTGGCAACTGATGGGATGATGACAAAATACAAAGAGAGGAAGATCCTTGCATCTACAGCCACATGGTTCATGTTGAATCGAGTTTGGATGACTTCGAATAAGGATCCTATCGTGTAGTTCAGCAAAGAGAATAAATGAGGGATGCACGTCTTAAGAGCACTGCCCCGAGATTCTCGCAGCAGTTTCCCACACACTCTTGCAATTTGCATGTAAGAGAAAACAATCATCACTACCTGAGGGACAATCAAAAACACAATCAGTACGAGTCCCACTATACTTATGTATGGCACACTTGAACATGAGTTTTTGACCACTTCCATGTTCACACAGTATAATTTCGGCACCACTTTTCCGCAGAAGCTCAGGTTTAAGGTCAGAGCGTAGAAACATGCAAACAGAATCAGCGGGTAAAGACTAGCTAATGCCACAAGCTTGCTTATCTTTGAATAAGACATGATGCTGTGGTAATGTAGAGGGTAACAGATGGCAACGTACCGGTCATATCCCATCACAGCTAATATAAAGAACTCAGCACATGCGTATGTGTGCAGAAAGTAGACCTGAGCCAAACACCACTTCACGCTAGTCTCATGTGTGTCAGACATGAGCAGAGCCATGACTGCAGGTAACAGCGCGGTGGTGCCGTACATTTCATTGACAGATAACATACATGTGAACACATTCATGGGTTGGTGCAGCTCTTTGTTCTGATGTATGACGGTGATGAGCAGCGTATTCAGAGTGAGAATGATAAGATACAGCAAGAGGAATACAGTGAACAGCCCATGTTTGTTGTTTTCCATAACAGCATAGGCAGTCATCGTGAATGTCAGCACGGTTCTGTTGTCCATATTTCACTTCAACTCTGTCAAAGAAAAGCATACATTTTATAATACAGGCTGGTGAAGCACTTGGTGATTGGTACTGAAGCTATTTCAATGATATCAAGTCAACAGCGAAGAAATTAAAAGACGGATAACAAAGCGAGAACAAGAAGACAGATGGATAGAGAGCCATTAAAATCACAAAGCAGGGTTAAAATATTATACAGTGTGTAAGATTATGTCTAGAATTGTTAAAATATGTTGAGATTAAGATTGGAAGAATAAATAGCTGGAAAGTACACTTATATAAAACAATTAGAGTTTGGACGGTCTAACATCAAATATCTAAAAAGGTAAAAGTGCATTGACCTTAAGTAGATGTTGTATCATGGTACCAGAGGTCATTACTCAACAATGAACACATTTAATCACAGAACAAGCTAAAGTTGTTGGTTCGGAGTACAACAAACACACATCCTGTTACCTGCTTTCTGTCCTCTTCTGGAGGTAGCGGAGTGTGCCACTTGGTCACAGATGGGCTTTTAACAATGCTCATCTGAGATGCGTTGATATCATGTGATGCAAGTGTGTAACTTGTTACCATGGCGCCCAAAGTATGTTGTTCCTCCAACACCTTCACAAAAACAGAAAAGTTTGGTTGAGAAACAACAACACAGATTCTGACACCTTAGCAAAGTGTAAAAGTAACACAAAAATGTCAAGGATTGATAATGAACTGGACCCAAGTGCAGATGCTTTACAAGAACTATTTAATTTAATGAAAAGACGAGATGCAAAAAGCAAAACAAAAACTTATAAGAACAAAAACCAAAAAGGGAAAACAAGGAAACACTAGTAACTCTGACATATACTCTGAACAACAATACTGACAAACAACAATGACCTGACACAGAGGGCAAGAAACACAGAGACTGTCAGTCTCAATTTCTCGGACTGTCAGGCGGACAGCCTGAAGGCAGGGCACATAGCCCGGAAAGTTCAGGAGGGCGGCCTGGAGGCCGACCAGACGACTAGTGAGAGGCCGAGCCTCCCTCGAAGACACAGTAGCAGAACCTCATATGAGAGCGCAGGAGTCGCCAGGACCAGAGATGACGGCTCAGGAGTCGTCAGGGCCTATGACGACGGCTCAGGAGTCGTCAGGGCCTATGACGACGGCTCAGGACTCGGCAGGGCCTATGACGACGGCTCAGGAGTCGTCAGGGCCTATGACGACGGCTCAGGAGTCGTCAGGGCCTATGACGACGGCGCAGGAGTCGGCAGGGCCTATGACGACGGCGCAGGAGTCGGCAGGGCCTATGACGACGGCGCAGGAGTCGGCAGGGCCTATGACGACGGCTCAGGAGTCGGCAGGGCCTATGACGACGGCGCAGGAGTCGGCAGGGCCTATGACGACGGCGCAGGAGTCGGCAGGGCCTATGACGACGGCGCAGGAGTCGGCAGGGCCTCTGACGAGGTCGCAGGAGTCGGCAGGGCCTATGACGAGGTCGCAGGAGTCGGCAGGGCCTATGACGAGGGCTCAGGAGTCATAGGAGTGGGCAGGACCTCCCACAGAGACAGGGGAGTGGGCAGAACCTCCCACACAGACACGCGAGTCAGACAGCGCTCTGCCGGAACTGGTGGCAGACTCTGTGGGAACAGGGACAAGGACAGGAACACAGGGAAGCTGAGGCCGGAGTTGAGGCCTGGGTTGATGCCTGGGCTGAGGCCTGGTCTGAGACTTGAGCTGAGGCCTCTGCTCAGTGGAGTTGACCGGCTCCAAGGCAAGGTCCAGAAGAAAGGCCACAAGTGAGCTTGAGGATATGGACTCCGGACATCTCTGTGAGCCACGTTGAACCTTACTCCTCCCTCCTCGGGTGCCAGAGAAAAAGGCCAGACGAGTCCCTGTCCAGGGCGACTCAGAGGACTTAAAACAAAAATCTGTTGGGTCCATTGTTGGTCAGTTCATTCTGTCAAGGATTGATAATGAACTGGACCCAAGTGCAGATGCTTTACAAAAACTATTTATTTTAACGAAAAGACTAGACGCAAAATGCAAAACAAAAACTTACAAGCACAAAATCCAAAAAGGGAAAACAAGGAAACACTAGAAACTTTGAACAACAATACTGACAAATAACAATGAACTGACACAGATGGTAAGAAACACAGAGACTAAATAGACATGGGGTAATCAGACACAGGTGAGACTAACGACACAGGTGAAGACAATTAGGGCAATCAACACTGGAGGGAAACACACAGAGGCAGGACAAGAAACACTGAGGACAACTATGACAAATACATGAAACACTGAAGACTAAACTAGGAAACACACAAGGGAAAAACCAGCAACACTAGGGAAGAACAGGAGAAAGCAAAACATGGAAACCTAAATACAAAACTGAATAAGATCAAATCATGACAAAAAATAAAATGTAATGCTTGAAACAGCTGCACCGCAGTGTGTGTTTATTTAGAATAGAAATCCTTTAATGCAGCGGTTCTCAACTGGGGGGTTGGGACCTGAAAGTGGGTCGCGGAGCCGTTGTCAGTGGGTTGCGAATTTGTGCCCGGAAAAACAACCATGTTGAAAAGTCAGCGAAGTTTGTTTTGTTCCATTTCTGTGTTCTGTCAGATGTCTCGTACAATCTGAAGTCCGAACTGCCATATTTGTCTTTAAAGAGGACATATTATCTCCCTTTTCCACCTTTTCAAACAGTCCCCTGTGGTCTAAATGAAACATCTGTGCTGTGCTTTGGTCAAAATTTAACATGAATCAAGCACCAGAGGAGGTTTGTGACCCGGTATAAACCAGCGCTCTCAGAACGCTCTGTCGTTATTGGTCAGTTGCTCAGCACGCGTCTCGGAAATTTCAACGTGAGCTGCAGGGCTTGCCACAATGAGCCAATGGACTCAGATCAGTGATCTCACACTGACAATGACGTTGGACTGACAAATTTTTATCGAGGGGGGCTAGAACCGAGTGTTACATGCAGCTAATGCTACAGCTAACAGGAGGAGGTAGGAGAAGCCGCGATGGATTCCATGTGTGGCGATATAATATATGTTCAAAAACACTGTAGAAGAAGATTTTTCATAATCTGTCCCCTTTGTCTTTAAGGAGTTTGTTATTATGACAAATCACTGCAACTTATAAAAAAAAAAGTTTTTACTTTTTTGCAACTATTCCAAAATTGACCATTCTAGACAGCTGTTTAATTATGACACATTGCAAAGTTTTTATATTGTTTATACAAGTTAATAAAAATAGAAAATGAATTCATTAGCCATTCAAAAAATGAATAAATGTGAAAAAGAGAGAATTAAGGGGAGATGGATGGGCTGGGGGCCTTTTCTACTTCATGTGTTGAGTAAACTAAATGTTAAGTGAAATTGAACTTGTCTAGAGCTAAGGATTCTAAGGAGTCTAAGGATTTTTCAAAACACTTTTCACACCACGTTTCATTCATCCATTCAAACCACATTCACACACTGGTGGCAGAGGCTACTAAGTTAAGTGTCCATCAATATTGTCACATTCACATTCACACACCGCAGATGCGACAGCAGGAAAAACTTGGGCTTCAGTGTCCAGCCCAAGGAATCTTCATGTTACTGCAAGAGCCAGGGATTTAACCCCTGACCTTCTGGTCGAGAAACGACTGACTCACAGCCAAAGCCGGGTGAATAGTTAGTCTACCAAGTCTGTCTTTTGGGCAGAAAAGTTTCAATGTTTCAAACCATGGTCAGTGAATTTGTTCTTCATTTTGTTTATGTCATTGTTCGCTATTTCTAGTTTCAGTCAGTGCTCCTTCAACATAGGTCTTTCTGTTTGTAGTGGTTTCTTCGGTCTTCTTAGTAAATCTTATGTTCTTAAACTTAGTTCTTTCTTAACCACTCTATAGTGACGACATTACACTGTTTTACGCGTTGAGTTGGCTTCACACATGTTCCCATGTGTCCATGGTAAAACTCCGCCGTCACTCGTTTATTTTTTACTTAGGCAGCATAACAGATAACAATACTTCCTGTCTCCTGATCACATGACTACGGAAGTCTTACAGAATCACGACAAACCTTCAAAATAGAATAGGAATAATCTCAGTAAATATTCCCAAGATAAACACAAACATATCGTCTGCTATGCTCTAGCAAATCATAATCCAAACAATAATAATCAAACTTATTAATGTAAAAATGGCCCCCTCTGTCGACTCTTTTAAGTCCCGTCTCGAGGCGTATTTTTATACGTTAGCATTTGAGTCCTCTGGCCCTGAATAGGCCGTTCTTTCAGGTTCCAGTTGTCGCTTTCATTATTTTTTATTTCATTGTATTTTATGTTTCTTGTGGATGTTGTGACCTGTACCGTTTTTCTTTAATGCATTGTACAGCACTCTGTTTTTAAATGTGCTTTATAAATAAATGTGACTTGTCTTTTTCCCGGGTAACCAAATGTTACAAAAAGGCCTCCTTAAAATGCAAAGCTGACCAGTTGCCTTGTCAGACTACACAATCCTATGTACGCCAATGTGTTTATGAGGCAAAGTTAATTATCTATATTTGACTTTAGCAGAAAATCCTTCATTCAATATTAATTATAGTAGGCCTAATTGTATTATCAAGAGCACAACAACAACTCAAATCTAATCTTATCGTGTCAAAATATTTCATTATAATTATTTCCAGCCACGTTCACCTTACATGTCCTGATATTAAAAAAAAAATCTTATTTCAAGATATTACAAGCAAAACTTAAGACCTGAATGACTTGTATTAAATGAAAAAACCTGCTACAGCGGTAAATAAAATGTACTTACATTTTAATAAATGATATATTACATCTAATTTTAAGAAAAACCTATCATGTAAATGACCCTTGCTTACTTATAAAAAGCATTTCAGGCTTTACATTTGAATAGTTTTACCTCGAAATAAGATGATATACTTGGACTGGTCAGGTGACTGTGGCTAATATTAAGAGTCAAGAGATATTTTGACTGGAAATCAAGACAAACACTCGTGGGAAGATTTAAGATCTCGCAGTAGTTTCCCTGTAATCTTTTTGAAATATGAACTTTTCTGTTTTGCATTTTCTGATCAGACAGGTTAGTGAACAACGCTCCTTTAATGTCATAAAAATTAGATTGTGTGTCAAGAGTTGAAAAGCAGGGATGATGTAAACCATAACAGGATAAACATGCTCATTAGAGGTCATTAGTCCACTTTGTTTTTCCATTCCTCTAGAAAGCAATTAGACACCAGTGTTTCTCACCAGTGGAGACCTCTTTGGCCAGCACCTTGAGAATACAGCGAGGTAAACAGGAATGATTTCCCTTAGGAGAACTCTGATGTAACACTGATGAAACTGTGCCTGAAAGGTCTTGACCTCTGTGTTGATGCAAATCACGGCAATAATGTGCTCAGGCTGGCATTGCTCTGTAAAGTTCTGAATTGTTGTGCAAGCATTTACATTTTAATTATTAAATATTAGAATGAGTGGTGAGGTGTTCAATATATGCTGTAATAAATTATAATTTATGAAAATATGTCACAGATGCGTGAATTCATTTTACAGTATTTATATTAAAACAGTGTGTGATAGGACGATGCCAGGTGAGAGAGTTCTACAAGACTAAATGTGTCCATAGAATCAAGATAAATACTCTTATCTGCAGGCACAGTGGATGTTTATGTCCCACAGTGATTGTTCTAACTCTCTGTGACCGTGAAGCGGTGATACAGATTGTTTCATTCACAAAGACAACTCCAATAGGGGCTTTATTTCAGAATATTTTATTGCAATAATTCAATGGGTTTCAAGATAAGGGATGAGGCAAGGATTGCCCGATTAGGGTGAGGAATGGGGAATGAGGGAACCAAGTGGTTGAGAGAGAGGGATTAGGGGTAAAAGGAGACTGTAGAAATTTCAGGTTAATAAGCAGGGTGGAGACTCAGTTTTGGGGGAGCTATTTGTTTGCACTCTTTTAAGCAGTCCCAGTATTTCCTATAGTTTAAGAAAGAGGGAAGAGGGAGAGAGAAAGAAGCAGAAAAAAAGCGGTTTGGGTGGAAGGATGAGCAGAGGAACAGAGAAGGTGTGGTAAAATACATAAGGCATGGAAATAAGATTCTTATGTGGTCTTTGTTGCCAAACCAAGATTTAAAATCATTATGTGATGCACATTTTGAACCCTTATGTTATTGTAAAACACTTGATATGGGCTTTGGCTCTACTCATAGCTGTTGGTCACATTCTCCCTTTCATACCACATTCACACTGTGATAGCAGAGGCTGCTACATAAAGTGCACAACTGCCCATCATAAAGTCTAAATTAAGTCTTCAACATATTCACGTGCCTCTGGCGTGGTAGCATGTGTAGGTTCAGTTTCTTACCTAACAATAAAAAAAACACAATGAACATGTGGCTGCAGGAACGGGGGTATCAAAACTCCAACGTTTCCACTGAGAGATGACCAAATCTACCAACGCCCCTACCCTACACTGAGGCTCGAGGCCCTCTACATTGAGGCTCTACTCTAGACTCTCATATTACCATATTATCATATTTCTGTATCTATTAATGTATAATTCCAATACACTAAAAGACACCAAACAAGAGTCAACAGCAGAATACGCTTTTTGGCATTGGCAGAGAAGATTTGGCACGTTTTTCATGGGCGCAACCCACATACTCAGCTCTGCTGCTCATCCCACAAATGCATATTCCTTACAAATGTGGCACTATTTAAAAGGGAAATAAACAGGCTTTCCAATGGTACAAGATTGATTGCCAAGGAGCATTGTTACAACAAAGAAATAATCTACCAAACACAAATGTCCTTACATTTTGTGTAATGTTTATAATAAATGCTACACCTTTGGCCCTGTTTCCTTGCAATGTCGCCTGTGTAAACAAAGACATACTAGCAGGCTTTTGTTTTGGAAACTATGTTGGTAAAACAGTAAAAACTGAAATTCCAGTCCCTCACTATCATGGATCCATGAAAAAATTTATAAAAAAATTAATTTCATACCACAATGGCAGTGTATTCAAAAAATGTTGTTTCAATGGGAGTCAATGGCACACAAAAAATGACGAAGGACTAAAGGTGTGATTATTTTTTTTAACATTTATTAAAGAGTTGAGAAATACACTTTCATGACATTTTAAAATTCACCCCAAAATGTATGCCATATGCATCAACACAGCCAAAATTATTCACAATAAACTGTCTTTAAATGTAAAAAAAAAAAAATGCACTAAGACAGGGTTAAGAGAAACAGTGAGAGGAGAGAGGGGGGTAAACATGCACCTGAGGGCAGAGGCCAGGAGTCCAACTTTTACCCAATGTGTTTAGGACTGTAGCCTCTATGTAAGGGGCGGTGTTGCTCTACTGACAGAACTAAAACAGCACCCTGAAGCCCCCAGAAACAGCATGCAGAAACAAAATTTTCCTCTAACTCTCTTTCATTTATTTGTCCTTCTTCCTCAATGTCCCTTTTAGACAAACTCACTTTATATCCAACGTTTGGCCACCATTCAGTGAGCAAATGAAAACCATGTGACAGTCACAGTAATCTAGTAAAAGGGACCAAACCAATCAGTAATTATTAGTTGTTGTTTTTTACGAAACATAGTCTCCTTCTGCGAAAGAATTAAATGCTGCGCCTGCAGTTTAAATGCTGATGCTGTTTACAAACGTCTCCTTTCTCTCCACACATTAGCGTTCCTCAGAAATAGCTGAATGAAGACACACCTTTTCTGATGCTGAAAATGGAGAAGGATGTTTGTCTGTGTGCAAATGTCCACAAGCAACAAGGTTAAGGATGTGCATGTGATGAGCTGTGTGTGTGAATTCAAACTGAGAACTTTTTCAACCCCTCTTTATGAAAACTTTTTCCTGTTGGTCTCTTGGCAAAATGTCCAATGTGTAACAACACTCCCTTCCATTTTCATGTGAGCTCTCCTTTATAGAAATAGCTGAATCAGAAGACTCCTTTTCTGATGCCTAAAATTTAAAAAGCTGTCCACTGTCGCCGCAAATGTCCAAAAGCAACAAGGTTAAGGATGTGCATGTGTTTTAAATCAGATACAAAACATGTTGGCATTTTGGCATGTTTGTCTCATGACAGTCTAGGTCACGAGTCGAGCACAACGATGTAGGTTTCTTAAATGTGATTAAGAAAGGCATGTTGTCTTTAGGATGCTTATATGCTCTCTAATATAAAAACTAGTGACCAGTGTGCTGTTGCAAATTATCTTCACTCCTCCCCTTGGATGAAAATACAAACAGACTCGGGCCTAAAACCGCATTTTGGAGCTACAGTGTCAGACGCAAAAATGGCTTGTTGCCGTGTGGTTGTTTTGGCGCTCTTGGTTGTCTTCCTGCTTAATGGTAAGTCTTGATATCGCTGCATGTCTTTGCTGCTAGCAGCTGCTTGTTTTCACCCTTTCAGAGTGTATCGTTGATAGGATTTGTAATTTTACTGATAAAGGATCTTTTATTAAACAGTTGTGGAGAACGAGGCTGCATCCTTTCCTTGGTCTTGCCCGAGTCTAAGCGGCGTGTGCAGAAAAGTTTGCCTCCCCACAGAACTCTTCTTTGGACCTCTGGGCTGTGGAAAGGGCTTCTTGTAAGTCTTGGTGCTCGGACAGCATCTGAAGATGTGTTGCCTATTTGTTTGTTACTGAAATCTAATGCATTATTTGTTATTCACTTCCAGGTGCTGTGTATCCCATTTTCTATGAGCTGAGAACGTTGGGATAGGAAAGCATGTCTGGGCCGTTATTATAGTCCTTAACAATATCCTCAAGTCCCGCTAGAAGACTTATGGAGCCTCACTGAAGATGAGTCCAGAATAAGTTGTGTTGTTGGAGAGTCATCTTTGGCTTTTTTTTCTCTCCGATGTAACATGAAGGACTTTGAATGATGTTTTAACTCTGCATAGTTTTTTTTTTGTGCTGAATTTAACGCAGATGATCTGGCTGAAATAGAGTAATAAATAACATGTAACTTCCTGGATTTCTTGTCTGTTCTTTTCTTCATGTAGTGAAATTTCTTATTCTTTTTTACTCATTCATATTAAACATGCTGGGCAGAGAATCTACAACTCTGCTTGCTTGAAACTAATGAAATGTGTTCATTGGAAGAAGAATGGAAAGCCCCTACAAATTACAGACTCATGACAAAGATAAACTACCATGATGTAAGGCCCTGTGTTTGGTCTTAAATCTAAACTGACATGTGTGAACCCATTTTCATTGTGAGTATTGGAATTCTCATTAAAGTCACAGTTTAACATTTTCTGTTTCAGGGTAACATTAATAAACATTCAACAATAAAGACAACTCATCTGGGTTTCATTCAGGTTTCTCTCAGAGCTGCACACATTATATAAACTCTGTAAACATACTGCTCATAGGAAACATGTGTGAATGTCTCCAATCATTTTTATTGCATGGATAAATTAAGGGTGACTTTTAGCATTTGTTTCTATTGTGCTAACATAAGCTTATTGGAAAATCTGCAAACAGCCTCCACAAAGCAATGAGAGGATCGAATATAGACTCTGTAGATGAATATAGACGTTAACTTAAAACACTGAGATATTAAAGAAAAAAGGTTTTAGAGTCTCCAATTCAAGTTATCACACTTTAGTCCATTTGCACAAGGGCCATTTCAAGAGAGCAACCCTCCATGTGAGTAAGAGTAAGAGTGCTTACTTCAGCTGACGGTGAGAGAGGGATGGAAAGTCTTAAAACTGGAAGAAATTTACAAGTTGATATTGCATTTCTGATGTTGAATAACTAAATAATCTAAATAAAACATGAACATAGACATAACCCTAAGCACAAGTTTATACAAGATACATCATGAATGTCTTAAGGATATCATTTTTAAACTTTTCATTTGTTTGGCAGGATGTGAATCATTTCTTGGTGGCACACAAACTACACTGATGATATCAAATTTAATGTACATTTATTTTCTTTCCTCTCTTACATAATTTAGTGGCAATATATCAGTTTTAACCTTTACTGGACTCTGCCTGTCTCTACCTGTGAGTCTGCCAGTTGGTGTGTGCACAGCCAGCTTTGGGAACTAGTCTTTACTGTAGCAACTGATTTAGGCCTTAGGAGGAGGAGGACCGATCATTTCTCCTACATGTTTGTCTAAATCAAGGTGTTATGAAAATAAACCGGAATCCCATTTAGTTGTTTTAACTTGATTCTCAAAACCTCCTAACCCATTTCCTTTCACTGCTACATGAAAACATGTTTTACTGCACACTTCTGCCCCCTTGTGGTTACAAGGTTATGTTCCCACAGCCAAATGCTGAGGCTGTAAGAAGACAAACCTGTCTGTGCTGTATGATCTGAGGAGCATATTTGTCGTTTGATTAAAAGGCAAACAATGCAAGAAATTTCAGGAACTTGGACAGAGAGGATATAACTCCGAGCCGTCATTGTCATCATGCACCTCATTAAAATATAACAGCATCAAATGGCATCACGGTCTTAAAGTGAGGGTTAGGTGTTGAAATTGGCATTAGTGGATTAACTTCACAGGCGGCCTGACTCACACTAAAGATAAATCTGTGTGGTTGCATAATCCTGTCAGCCTCCTTAACTTCAATCTTGACATATTTATTAGCCTACATATTTTAGATTTGTCTTTCAAAGGTGCTTCGAGCTGTAGCTCCTTCATGACTCTCTTATGACTGTAGTTATTATCTCCCTGTGGCTTCAGTCAAGGAAATAGACTAGAACAACCTGAGGGAGAATTATTTCATAATCTGTTGACTAGCAGTGCTGCTGATGAATAGGACCATTCTTTAACTGATGGTACGAGCGATAAAAACATTTCACCAGTGACAGTACCGAGATCCTATCACTTGAGGGCAGTGCTGTGGCCTGTTGATTGAAGTACAGCAGTTGGCTGTCTTTTCACACAGCATGTGTTAAGCTTTAAAGGGAAAGCAGATTCCTCTAAGGCTAATCTCTCACAATAGACTTGGGAGGTGTGACTGATTTACAACTCACTTGCTGGAGTAAATTATAGTCAGCCCATGAGACCTGGTTGCTAGTCTATAGGCAGATGCCAGACTAAAACTGGTCCATCTGGTCTGTTTCTGTTGTGAAAACAGATTGAACTGTGGTAAACTAATGTCTTCTTCAGACATAGGTGTCAAGGCTATTTTATGACAAGGCTATAATGACAAAAACTATTTATTTCAACGAAAAAACTAGACGCAAAATCCAAAACAAAAACTTACAAGCACAAAATCCAAAAAAGGAAACACAAGAAACTTTGAACAACAATACTGACAAATAACAATGAACTGACACAGACAGTAAGAAACACAGAGACTAAATAGACGTGGGGTAATCAGACACAGGTGAGACTAACGACACAGGTGAAGACAATTAGGGCAATCAACACTGGAGGGAAACACACAGAGGCAGGACAAGAAACGCTGAGGACAACTATGACGAATACATGAAACACTGAAGACTAAACTAGGAAACACACAAGGGAAAAACCAGCAACACTAGGGAAGAACAGGAGAAAGCAAAACATGGAAACACAAACGCCAAAACACAAAACCAAATCATGACAATAGGCCTACCTAATGTCATTTTTCTCTTATTATAAATGTAATATACTGTAATAAAGACAGTTTTCTTTATACAAACTTTTGTTTAGATTTTGCTTCCATTCGGGTTTCATTTTCAACTTTCAGGTTAATCGTCAATGGACCTTGGAAGGCCATGGATTCAACAGTGCACACTGTTCGTTGCTGTTAGTCCATCCGGCCGCTGATGGCGCTGTGGCTCACGACGCTGGTGAGTCACCCTGCCGTCACAACACGAAGAGACCACCAGGGAGCAAGAAAGCAATAACAAACAAACAAACCTAGCAGCAAGCTAACGCAACTTTTGGAAAAAGCCTAGAACCATCCGTGAAGTATCTCATTCACGACTGACAAACCATACTGCTGTGTTTGCACTCCAACGAAAACCCCCGTGTAGGATACGATGTGCAAAGCCAACAAAGAAGACAAATAAACTGGTAGGTAACATCTGCTAACACGAGCTAACCGTGAGCTAATGGTAATCCTTCCTGGTTGTTGTTTTTTTATAGTTTTCTTGAGGAATCAAAGGATTTGTCGAGAAATTAGCTGACTGTACAGTTGTGAAGGAAAGCTAATTTGATCGTTCCTACATGTTGACGTGAAGAAAACAAAGTTTGATGAGAGAAATAAGTTAAAAATGAAAAACCTTAGCGGAGCCGATATTAGCTCCACACCGGGGCAAACACACACACACACACACACGATAACACCAGCTGATTGTGATGTCGTGTTTATCTGAGATGTTTTATCACTCAATCAAAACAATAGATGTGTTCATGTCCATTCTTAAATCTTAATTTTAATCTGAGGTCAGTGTAAAGCTCAGACTGCTGTAACGTAACACATTAATCTCCTTCTTTCCTTCAGTATAATAATGTTTCTGATGACGTGATGAGGAGAGTTAGATACACCTTAAACAGGTTAAACATTGCAACACAACAAGATTAAGTCCCCCCCCCCAGCAAAATCCTGCAAAAACAAAAGGTGTATTTCAACATGTTTTTGGTGTTTATACAAACGGGCTGCTGAGCATGTGGGTTAATTTCTAACTATAATGCCATGAGAGAGAAAGTGACCTACATGCACTCCTCTGAGCACCTTTATTGTTGTGTTGGGTTTGGATAGGATAAAACTTTATTGATCCCCAGAGGGGCGTTACAGCAGCACAGACAAGAAAGCTGAAAAATACACATTAAACAGAATAGATAAGATAAATAAAAATAAAAACAGGGGGTGTATACAAGTACAAAATGAATGATGAAGTTAACTGGGGAGAATTGAGACAGCATTTGAAGGATTTTTGTATTCTCCCAGAATCACAGAATCACTTGCTAACCGAAATAACTTGTTTGACATGTTTATTTAGTTGTTTTTTTTAGTTGAATCCTGATCTTCTCGATGTGAATAAGTTATATTGTGCCTTTTGGGCACAGTTTGGCACCATCTGTGCCATTTGAAATGTTTCAGGTATCAAGCTGTAAAACTAATTTTAATTTACTTAGGTGTCATTATAGATATGTATTCAATGTAAAATACACCTTTTTTTTTTTAAATCAACTTTTTTGAAACTACACCAGTCCTCTATATATGTTTGAATTGAAGAAGAAAAAAACATACAAATACAATGGAGTTTGAATCAAAATGGATAAGATTTATATGAAATGTAACAAATGTACCAAGATAACATACAAGCTAACAATTAAATATTTTACATATACAAAACTTGAAAAGATCAAATATAGGCATTTACATTTTCAGGTTTCAGGTTAACCAGCTCATAAACAACATGCTCTCCAATGTATGCCTCGGTCTCCAAGTTGTTTGTTCACCATGCTTGTTGTATTTTAAACAAATTAACTGAAGTAAAGACAAACAAAGAAAAGTGTTTGTGAACAATCATTCATATTTACAGTCTGTAAGTCCGGACTGCCCAGCCCTGGTTCGGCCTGAAATGTTCGTAACTTGGGAAAGTGTTTCTCAAGCATATATTGTATAAATATGAAAATCCCATATTTACGCTGTCTGCTTTTCTCCACAATATATTCTAATCAATACTTCAGGGACACGGATCTTGAACATGATCTATTTAGTTATTTATTAGGATCTCCATTAGCTACTACCTACTCTTTCTGGGGTCCACTCAAAGACTTGTTTTTACTCTGTGCATGTAAAATGGCAGCTAATGGCTTGTTCTGTGTGTAACAAGACTCGACTTTTTGCAGAAAACTCAGTTAAAAAAAAAACATATATGTAGAAAATCTAGACTCTAACTGTGCTGCTCACCCACTTTGAAATAACAGATTAAATTTGTTGTTTCAATTTAACGTGAATGTTGGAACATGGTAATTTGAAGGGGCAGTATAAAAGTAGGATCATTGGAAATCTATATTAGGCTCAAGAAATATAAGGTGGAAGGGAATCGACTTTGAACGATTTATTGAAGACCTTCTTTTAAGAGTTAACTGTAATGTATAACATGTTATCACAAAGGAAAACACGTTGATTACCAAGACACCACAGCCTGTTATGTGCTGTTCAAACAAGCTGCTATATCTTCAACAAGGGGTTTTCTTTACAGTGGGTTTATCAGAAAACCTGTAGAGATTGTAGTCAACATCAATACAATTCACTTGTGTGAATAATATGTCCCTTTTGTTGATAAGAACTGGCCTTCAAAGGACTTTTGTATTCTCCCAGGCTCACAGAATCACTTTGCATGACTATACATATACATGTTAATGCATGTCAAAGAGCCCGTTTTGCATTTACTTGTTTGCATATTCATTTGCCATATGAATAGCCTTTTTACAACTGTAATCAAACTACAAATGAGCGTCAAACTGGTACCTGAAGCATTTCTCCTCCCAATAAATGTTCCCATGAATATGATATGCAACTGTCTTATCTCTTTCACAGATTAGTGTAAGCAACTAAGGATGGTTCGGGGTGGTCTGTGGTGCGATGGAGCTCAATGGAGCGTCCTTATTGCGGTTTTCTGCACCATACTTGTTCCGTCACCCACTCATGCCTATATCTACGCTGTAAGTTATCACAGACATGGAACACATTGGCTTTCTAAGTTTAAAATTTTAGTGGGATTCCTATGATTTCTCCTATGATGTTATATCTATATTGTTTTTACAGCATTATAGCAACATGACGTCCATGTTGTTCGAGGACCTTCCTGCCTTGTTTGGAGCTCAACTTCCTAAAGACGGACTGATGGTGAGAGCCGAGTACAAGACAAAGCCTGTACACAGAAACACATTAGTTTAATAGTCCTTGTCAATAACACTTTATTCTCTCTGTGTGTTAAAGGGGGTTTTGGTGGTTTCCAATCCACTTAATGGCTGTTCAATAATCGACCCACCTCCTCCACTGCCGCCATCTCATGATGCCAACACGACCAAATTCATGGTTCTCATCAGGCGCTTTGATTGCAATTTTGATATTAAGGTCAGTAATGTTTGTTTGACTTTTCAAACATCGAAGTTTCCTGGAGGCGAACTGGTTTAATAGGAGGTACTTTTTATTTTTTATTTTAGGTCTTGCACGCTCAGCAAGCTGGATACAGTGCAGCAATAATTCACAACATGTACTCAGACACTCTGCTCAATATGAACTACAGCAATGGTAAGTCAACTCTTACAAATGTTCACTCTTTCAAACACTCGCACTATTTGACTAAAATGCTCTAACTTCATATTCTTGTTGTGTTTTTTTTTTTTTTTTCATTTTTCAGACACTATTGCAGAGGAGATCGAGATATCCTCTGTGTTTACCAGCTACTATGCTTCCCAAATTCTCAGGAGTTTCATAATTCCAGAGCAGGGGTAATTAAAAACGTTTTAATAATTCACTTGTAAAACAGAACAATGATCTCGTGAAACCTTTTAAAAGCCAAAACAAACCTGCATGACCTTTCAGAGTAATTTCATAAATCCTGTTTTCTTTTCTTTCAGGGCTTATGTGATCCTCAAGCCAGAGTTTGCTTTCCCGCTCTCATACTACCTGATTCCCTTCACTGGAGTCATTGGCATGATCATTCTTGTGATGTGTGTTGTCTTGGTAAGTAAGCTGATGAAGTATGATGTTTTGAACATTTATTAAGCACAGAGTCCTTCAGCTGTTGAAAAGCAATAACAGTAAGCCAGATTCTCAAGGGCGGCTGCAGATCAGTTGGTAGAATCAGTCGTCTCTCAACCGGACCGTCTGGGGTTTGATCCCCAACTCTTCGGCAAGACTTAGCCAAAACTGCTCGTTGTTGTTTGATCAGCGGCGTATGAATGGGATTAGTTAATACTGATGGACACTTTACATCGCAGCCTCTACCCTCAGTGTGTGAATGTGTAGGTCTGACCTGTGGTTTATAAGTGCTTTGAGTAGTCAGAAGACAAGATTAGTGCTATACAAGCTCAAGTCCATTTTACATCTACCATTTTAATGGAACCCTGCCTGGGGAAATGCCAAGCCGAACACATGAACATATTCTGTCTCACTGCAGGTACAGTCTAGTCCAACAGACAGTGTTAGGGAAAGAAGTGCAACACATTGTTGTCATAGTTCCCAGGTCAAAATGCCTTTTCCCTGCCGTTCTTGTGAGACTCAGCTGAATCTGAACCTCAGGATCCTCCATGAAAACAACAAACTAATCCATGCACATTGACTCCTGTTTTGTAACCTTTTGCTGTTTGTTTTTGTTGTTGTGCTGTTCAGATGATACGATGTGTACAATACAGAAAACGGCTGAGGAAAAACCGTTTGTCCAAAGAACAACTGAAGCGCATCCCGACCCACAAGTTCCGTAAAGGTAACAAGAAGTCATTTTTCACCGTCACCGACACTTTGGAACGGTCTTGAAAGGTTCATTTTTACCTCCAAATATAACGATGTCATTTTGCTCGTCTGTTTCAGGAGACGATTATGATTTGTGTGCTATCTGTCTGGATGACTATGAGGAGGGAGACAAGCTGCGAGTGTTACCTTGTTCACACGGTAAATCTTTGATACACTCTGATGGGGTTATGGTGACATTTATAAAGTATGTCACTACTGAACTGAAACTACCAGCACATCTGTCTATTGTAGTTCAAATTTATTTTATTTTTTAATTTTTTGGGGGCTTTTTGGCCCTTTATTGGAGAGATAGGACAGTGGATAGAGTCAGAAATTGGGAAGAGAGAGAGTGGGGAGCCACAGGTTGGATTCGAACCTGGGCCGTCCGCATCGAGGACTATAGCCTCCATATATGGGACACGCACACTTAACACTGCACCACCAGCGCAAATGTTAAATAAAGTGCTAGAAGTGAGGAAACTAAATATTGGAACATTATTCTTTGTTTGCCAAACATGCATTTTTTTTTCTCATCTTGTCATTTAGCATTTAATGACTAATGAAAGTCTGTGTGTCATATCATGTCCTCCTGAGTAACCCAATAACCTCTGAGTGCTTTTTTATTTAGGGATTGGGGGGGTAGCTAAATAGGCCTGTAATAAGGGAAGAATCTAGATAAACAATATGTCCTGTGATATAGGGATTAATTAAGTTGGGACATGAGGGGAGGAAGGCTTCTTAATGATTGTCTCATAGGCCTGGTTCTTTGTGTTTAAGTAAGCTCTGTTGATGCTATCTTATGTTGGCTCTAGTCCTTGTGTTCCTATCTGACAGTTGGAGAAAGCCCTCCTGCTAATCTTTGCTTGTGAACTTCTAATTTGCTTGCAAACAATTTACACTGTCTTTCATCTCTACTTATTCTTCATTACAATTAGATTCTAAATTCTTCTTTCTGTTTTTAAGCCTACCACTGCAAGTGCGTGGACCCGTGGCTCACACAGACCAAGAAGACATGTCCCGTGTGCAAACAACGAGTCACCCGGAACAAGACGGAGCAATCTGAATCCGAGTCCGAGGAGGAAAGCGGAGGACGCCGAGAGGAAGAAGGGACAGAGGGCGACGGAGACTCGGAGCGCACTCCTCTGCTTCGGCCCTCCAACCCCGGGTCCCCCTCGGGGAGCCTGGGAGCTTATTCAGCCACCACCATCACCACTGCCCAGTGCCTCGCCTCACCTGTACGCTGCGACTCCCCCCTCCTGGATTACGAAGGCTACCACTCCCCGCTGGAGGACACGGACTCAGAAATCGAGGATGAGATGGGCACCACACCGACGATGACACCGCACAGCTGATTGGTAGGGATAGTGTGGAGGTCTGATGGTTGGAACTTGGATGCAATGAGATTAGTTTAACCTAAAAAAAAAAAAAAAAGGGGGTCGTTATGTCTCGCTTATCACACTACACTACACTTTTGTGGTTTGCAAGACATTAAACGTATCAGAACCTTTTACCAAGTAACCAGAGGAGGTCTTCTCGTTAGTGTCAAAGCACATGCAACACTTTGCATTGATAAATTACTAAAAATGAAATGTCAAGCAACTCCACTCAAGTTTTGTTTACACACATTCAATCCTCTCTGTGGGTAGAATTTGTTTTAAAGCCGCATGTCCTAACTTGACCCACACTATGTGACCTAACCACTTGTGCTACACATAAAGAACGGGCCCCTTAACCTCTCTGGTAATCTAACATGCTGTATGAATAACAGAGTTACTGTAGTTCATAAACTAAATGATTTAAATTGGACCTTTTGGGCTCCCCATGTGAGCGGTGGGTTAGGTCAGAGCAGTTTTAACGACTCGCTGTTGTCTTAATCAGAATCCCTTTTTTTATCCGACACTCCTTTTTCCCAGCACTCCTGAACATGGTGTGAAAATGGAGGGACACGTTTGTCTTCATTTAATGTTTTCAGTCCACTACGCTCACGTTCTCATCTCAAGTCTCACTACTAAACAACGATACTATTATAGCACACTGCGAAGATGTTACACGTTTCTGCTGCTTTGCGTCTGTATTTGTTTTCTATGTGGTCAGTTTAAGGACAAATTAATTTGAGCTTTATCCAGTTTGTCACGTTGAACAAACTCAGGTTTTTATTGCAGCAGATTAAAGGTCAGTGAGTATTGTAAATGAATGACAAAGACAGAGTTAAGGGTTTTCTGTTACAGATTGTTTTTAACTTTTTTTTTCTTATTCTTCTCTGAATCAGTGAAATTTAGAGTCATGATTATGAATCTGGGACCCAGTGTTTTTCTTTTTTTTTCTTTTTTTTTTTTTAGCAAAGAAGAGCATTATTGCCTTATATTGGCCTTGGTGTGATTGCATATGTTCAATTAAATGTCTGGAAACTGAAGGGACAGGATTCACACTCCTTGGCTTTCCTAATGTCTAGCTGTATTTAATGCCGCTTTCTTCTTGTTTCCCTCTCTGACATTTTGCTCCACATCTTTTGTATAATGACACAGAAAAAGAACGAGAGCTCATTTGTTTCCACATGTTCAGTGCTCCTAATGAGACGTTATAGACACCTGGATATTTGTACAAGCTCGTTGGCTGTCAAACCACATCGGACTTGTTTCTGTACTTTTACCAAGCGACCTGTTCAGGGTCCAAACTGTTGATTTCTGTATTGAGCAGAACGAGGTTATTCTAGCTGTTTCACTCTTTCTATAATGTTTCAAAGTGTTGACTTTGATCTCCGATGCTCAATTCACAACTGTTTTTTTTAATGTAAAAAGCTTACTCATTGTGGAACTTTTCCTAAAGATTCTGTCATGTATGATTCAAATAACGAGTGCTGCAGGTGTTAAAGAATTGCTTCATCATGGTCCCACTTTATAACCCTAACTCATATTTATACTAAGCTCAAAGGGGGATCAAACTCGATCCTGACCGATTAATCATCCAGCCGATATTAGATAATCCAGTGACTCGGTATTGGCTAATTTTATCAGATATGTTCTGATAGTACTGGATTTATTGACTATTCAATTGTCATTTTATTTGAGTAGCATTGAACACTAGAAATTCTCTTTCTGGCTCTCACCAGCAGAGGGCGCTATATGGACTACAACAAGCATCATCACCATCCAGAGTGTGTAGCGGTGATGCACGTACATGCGCAGTTACTTTCCAGTTGAGTGACCGTCTCGTCTTCGTTATAAAACTTTATAACGAGTTTGAGAACTCCATTTGAGGGATCAACCCAATAAACGTTTATATCTAAATTTATTTAACTCTGCAGATCAAATGTAGATCTAAGAACGATATCAGCCAATATACATCGGGTTTATTTCTCTTGCCAATATTGATATCGGCCCTAAAAATCGGTCGGGCCCGAGATCAAAGCCGTCCCCTAAAACACCACCACTACAGATAATAGGAAACACTTCAGACACTGCGTACATTTATATTCTTCATCTCAGCATTTGTTGTCTCACTGTTGTATTTTGGTGTGAAAGATGAGAATCAACAGGACATTCCTTCTTTATACTTCACTGATTGTTGATCAAAAGACTTAACACAATGATGTTTTAATCGGGACTCGTTGGCAATAGTCAATATTGTAAAATTGAACCGCTGTTTTCCTATTCATGCTTCGATGTCTTTTGTACTGTGTCCTTTCTGTTTGGCTCTAAATGTCTCACTTTGAGAGACTGTTGACTTAAACAATGAACCCCCTCCCCCCTGTATGATTTATTGCTCCTCTTCTTTTAGAATGTGCCTAGTTCATTACTTTGAAATGAAACATGTACAGTGTCAACTATGATTTTCATGTATAAAGCACGTCTGAGAATCCTTAGGATGTATAAACAGTCTGTGGAAAGTCGCATTTAATGTGTGATTCGTGGAAGATTAAATTGATCTTGAAAAAGGAACTCAGATGCTGTTTTTTTTTTTTTATTGTGATATCGGGAGAATAATTGAAACCCCTTTTATTGTACACAATTTACTGCCATATATGATATCAGTTTGAGGCAGTAGCCCCAGTCCATGGTGACTTGAGTTGGCAACCGGAGGGTCGCCAGGTCAAGTCCCGATGCGGACCATAATATGGAAGTTGGTCTGGTAGGTGGAGAGGTGAGTACTACCGAGGTGCCCCCCTAATATGATGGTAGGGGAAACACTGATGTGTGTGAGAAGCATATCTCTAAATAAGAGAGTGTAAACCTGAGTTTCCCTCAGGGATTAATAAAAGATATAAAATTCAAATTCAAAAATTAAATGCAAAGCTACAATACATGTGCAACACTAGCATTAGCTCTTGCTTAAGTAAAAATAACTATATTTGTCAAACTTCAGCATCAGCATGGGTCACCTCAGAAATGTGTTGGTCATTAATCTCAAGTCTTTAATCCTATTCGCATGAGATTCTTAACGAATGAGTCGGTAGAGCAGAGAAACCCTGCTGAATGTTGCATTCATGCGCCACTGCTCTCTCTAATGATTACTCTCATTAGAAAAGCACAGTTGGTATAATTATCCTTTTTCACATGGTATTCATACGCTGTTTAAATAGACTTTTTATTAATACTGTACATGCTGAGCTTGGGCTGCTCTGTATCTTCTTTGGGTTCAGATATAACAGCCATGTTTCTTATTAAAAGTCTCCTTATTTGTCAGTCATTTCAATCAGCATCATTTAAAGCTCCTGTGATGCAGTACATCTAGATATCAATCAATCACTATGTATAGTGCCAATTTATTTATTTCGAATAGTGGATAGTGGACATTAATGAACATAGAAATGTAAATATGACAGATTATAGCCACAGGCTGATTTCCATCTGTAGTCCCGTGACAGGTTGGTGATGAACAGGGAAACAAGGTTACAGAAAACCACGATGACAAGCAAAAACCAAACAACAACATGTACATTAGTTAACAGAGACACATAAATATACCAGTTCAAAGAGTGGCTGTTTGATTTTGTTCAGACCATAAAGTGACTCAGAGTTAAAAGTGCTTAAGGTGCTGCTAAGGGAGGTAAAGTGTCTCAGTGCTGGAGTATTGCTCATAAATTAAGAGGTACTGGTGTAAATTGCACATTTCTTCATCATCAACCTTTATTTAAGTTCTCAGAGAGATCATGGAGGGCGACCCTCATTTACAATGATGCAGAGAGTACAGACATAAGTGACAAACAAAATGAGTTAAGGCTACCACAGGAAATGAAATCAATGAAAGCAATAAGAACAATAAAATATATAAACTAAAAATAATTAAAAGCCTGAATTACGACAATGATTAGTCAACAATTCAAATCAAATTAAACAGTTACAGTCAGGTATTGGGCGGTTAAGAAGAATAGTTCTAAAGTGTCCAAGTGGGTTAAAATCCCACCTGTGGCTCCCTTCCTGCATGTCACTCCCCACTCTCTCTCTCTACCTGATTTCTGACTCTATCCACTGTCCTATCTCTCAATTAAAGGCTCAAAAAGCCCAAAAATAAATCTTTAAATAAAAAATAAAGCGGCAGAGCTCGGACATTCCCTGACAGAGTGGTAGGCTGTTCCATAATTCACATCAGGATTTGTCCTTTGTATTTCTCGCGTTCTGTTGTCGGATAAGCAGAAGAAAATGGACGTATGGATGGATGTGTCACTCATCTTGAATATCTGCTGTGAAAAAAGGTTTTAATTTCTTCTGTCTGAAGCTGCTGCCACAGGGTTGGTGTCAGAAGCTTCAGACATTAACAATAACTACATAGTGGTCTAGTTTACTTTAGTAGGTCATATGGAGGCATCAGTATTACATTTAGTCAGTTTCATACCCAGTTAAAAACTCCTCACTGTAGCTTTAAATCCATTAAAAAAGAGTGTGTAATGAGTGACTGTAAGATGTTTGTGTGATTCATTAAGACTTCCTGCGTTTGTCTAATTCATTCCTCTTAATCCCTTCATTTCTTTTCACATTCATTACTTCATGAGCATGAAATATCATCTCCTGCTGCTCGAGAGAAAAGACAATTCATATTGGATCTGAATAAGCCTTTTCAGAGCTCTGGGCCGAGCGCTGCCTAGGTGAGCCGACAGGTGGATAAAAGCCTGTGTGGGCTCATGTGCAGGGAGTGCAAAAGACGTGACACGACATCACATAAATGATTCCCTAAAAGCAAAAGAGCCTCCAGGAGGTCATTCTTGGTAAGGAAGCTTTTGGTGCATTTGGAAACACGGGACAGATTTGTACTTTCTCTTGTTTCCTGCTCGATACGGTCAAGACATGTCTGGGTCTCTGCAGAAATACTCCTCTGTGCTGCGATCATCTTTCTTACTCTTCTTCATCGTCTCTTTGCTGGTGAGGATGCATTCAAGTGCAACTCCTCAAGACTACAAGGTAAAGTCCCACTTTCTTTTTTGACCTCCATCACTGAAAACCAATGATCAACTTGATGTACAAACGACAAAAATCTTGTTTTTCTATATCTGTTATTTTGAATTATGAACGTCTAGTTTTTGGGGAAATGTAGAAATAATTTGTTTTCAAAGAGGAGAGAGTGAAAGAAGAAAACATCTCACTGTTGAGCGAAATAAATATTTTGTCCTTATCTTCCAAGTTGCTTTAAAATATCTTAATTAGTGAGGACACTTTAAAGTCAGAGAAGAAAACAGAAAAGTCATCACACTAAATGTCCTTTAAAGGATGTATTATCTGGTAGACTCTTTAAAGTCCGCCTGCTACCTCATCCTGCACATACTTACCCCCGCACTGTTCACCAGCACCCTCCTTTAATGTCCCTCTTTATGATCTGTTCCCTTTCATTTATAGAAACTTTATTAATACAGCACTTTTCAAAACAAAACAGGGTTAAAAAGTGATTTACAAAATGAAAATAAAATTTGAGGAAGACAATAATTGTAACAAATGTTTCATGTCATGTACGTCTTTGTAACCTGCTACTGGATGCTTTGAATTTCCTCTGGATCAATAAAGTATCTATCTATCTATCTATCTAATTCAAAATTAAAAACAAAATAGCGAGATTATTCAACAGGAGTTCCACAAATGTTAGGAATAAAAAGGAAATAAAACAATGTCAAACCAAAAAGGCAAATAAACTGTCTGATAAGCAGGCATAATCAGTTCCCTGTTTTTAGCATCTTTCTCCCATCTTAATGACACACACAAGGTGGAAAGACCCTTCAGTAGTTGTTCAAAAGAATCGATCCTGGAAATAATTTTTCTTTTACATTTTTGACATATTTACAGGAGTTTTTGAACCGGTCCTTCCCAAGGCATCTCATCGCCGGTCCTCCTTTGGAAGGCGACGGTGGACCTGAAGGAGACTTCACCTTTGGATCCAGGGATGACCAAACCTTCCCTCTAAAGCTGGATTCATCTTTTATCCTGGAGGATGAAGCGCAGTCCACTCAGCTGTGGCCCCGCGTCATGCTGGATTATATGAGGCAACAGTTACGCTACAGAGGAAGGACAAAGAAAAGCTCCAAAAAGAATAAATTCAAACGTTTACTGGATAACAAATGACAAACAATGTAGTGTGAGAGTCTCATCTATTAAAATTGTCATTCTAATAACAATCGCCTCTGTGACTCTTATTTTCACATCATCACATTAAAACCTGATCTGCTTTAAACCACTGAAGGTATCACAGTCTATGATTTTAACAAGCCGAAACAAACCTGTGCACATTAAAAACTCAAAGTTCAAACTAACTTTAACTAGTAAGAGAGCCCTAAGCAGACACCAGAATCAGAAATACTTTATTACTCCCTGAAGGAAAATTGGGGTTTACAGTTGCTCTGCTACACAATAGCAGTAGGAAATATATGAACAGAAACTGGGACTAAATAACAAATATTACTCATAAACAAAGCAATAAGTACAATCAATTCATACAAAGCACAGAGTTAAAAAAAAAAAAAAAATGTATATAAAATCCCAGTATCACACAGTAGAGATAAGAGTGTTGCACAGGGATCTCACTATATTATTTATTTGCAATATTAAACAAATTGTTGCACCCATTTGTTGATACAGTTGTTTTGAAAGCACATATTGTTGCACATTATCGTTGCTCTTTTGTTAATCTGTATTGAATCTTTTATATTTTGTATTTTTTTATACTTTTACAGTTTGCACCGCGGTTCGGAGAGAAAGGTTTTTTCGCCTGATTTTCTGTATGTCCAGTAAAAACTGACAATAAAGATGACTTTGACTGTATGACTAAAACACACAGCTCCAATTACAAACACAGATCAGAATATGTTGGGTCACAGAGCAGAAAAGTCTTTATTTCAAAGCAATTACAACCTGATGGATCTTCCTCCAAAATCTTCAATCTATTTTTCAAAAGCTTTTAAAGAGACCAGTTCCCCCAGACACAGATAATCTAAAAACTCCATTGGATCTGCAGAGTCCCTCTGCACCTTTAAGAAAAAGCTAAAGACCAGCTCTTTCATGAATACCTACTAACTTAATGATGATGGTCTCCATATTATTGATGATGATGATGGTAATGACGATGGTTTTTGTTTGATAACGACGACTTATAAGATGGTTTCTATACTGATTAGAGCTCTCAAGAACTGCCCTCAATGTTGTGCTTTGCCTCTGGTCACTTCCTGTCAGCACCTGTGTGTCCAATCAGACTCAAAGCTGATTGTTTGCTCTTACTCACATTGTTTCCTTTTTTTCTAGATCCTTGCTTGTGTTATACTTACTCTCTGATGTAAGGATAAGGATTTTCTCTGGATAAAAGCGTCTGCTAAGTGAATTGTAGAATTGTAGAATTGTAGAATAATCCTCCAGGTCAGCCATACGAAACTCCTTTTCCCCATTTCAAGTCGCACTTTAAGGACGGAAAAAAACAAAAATAAGTTTTGTGACTGAGTCGTAGAGCAAAGACTGTAGCTGCCAGC